CACCACCCTCAAGCTGCTCGACTGTGGTTCGAGATGAACAGAGAAAAAAGGAAGCGAGAGAATCAGAGGGCTGATGGAGACAGAGGACAGTGGGCCAGTAAAGCTGAATATATTCTGGTCGTTGCTGGAAATGTGGTCGGTTTGGGCAACGTTTGGAGATTTCCTTACCTCTGCTACAAGAACGGTGGAGGTGAATAACTACAAAATACAACTGTAATCGTTTGTGGTTGAGAGATGAGTGAGTTCCACAACACGTCTCTGTGTTCACTGCAGGGGCCTTTCTGCTGCCATACTGTGTGTTAGCTGTTGTGTGTGGGATACCTCTGTTTCTACTGGAGACTGCGATGGGTCAGTACACGCAGGAGGGATTCATCACCTGCTGGAGGAAACTGTGTCCACTGGCACAAGGTAAGATTGGAGTCAATGCAAAACGGTATTAAACCGTCAGAACAGCTAAACTTGAACCACGTGTTTGATTTTTATTCCAGGGGTTGGATATGGATATTTCATGATGAAGCTTTATGACTTCAGCTACGTTTTGGTCCAAGTCTGGGCTCTTTTCTACCTGGTGTTCTCGTTCAGATCTCAGCTCCCGTGGGCCAGCTGTGACAACCACTGGAACACAGGTCCATTCAGACTTTTTATCACAAACATTGGGTAATCTGGGACATTGGTGTTATGTGACACACCTGTGAGCTGCTGGTTAGAATTATCCAGTCAGGCATTTAGCCCTGCGGCATCTTGGAGCTCGAGGACACTGCCCGCCCACCCATACCTGTGTCCTGCACCCATTGGACATTACCCCCCCAATGCATAAAGAGCTTTATTTCATACAAACGTCTGCTGTGTTTAAAACATGTGTATGTTTAATGTTTTAGGGAGATATCAGGGTAAATTGTCCCAGATTAACTCTCACATTTCTCTTGATGAAATCTTTCTTTGTTCCCAGCAAACTGTCTCAGTCTTCAGTTTTCCAATTCATCGAATGTGACAGAAAATCTGAACAACACCACCTCTTCTGCGACTGAGTTCTGGGAGTGAGTTTCTAATTGATCCCTAATCACTTTTCATGCTTTGACAATGACTCTGTGCTGATTAAAAGTTAGACGGTTTGATTTACCCCGAGGTCATTATCAAATGTTTGGAAACTGATCACTGTTTATTAACATATACATTTTTTATGAAATATTAATATCAAATCATTATTTTACAGACGCACTTGAGTGAAGGTTGTGGTTATAAACTCTTTTCTCTCTTTATGGGCAGAGAAAGAAAAACAGTTTCAAATTTGAGGTAGAACACTAAAACACATTATGTGTTATTCCTCCTCACCATGATTACACAATGTATAAGCAATATATCAATATATACTGAACTTCTGTTGTATTGCTATTTATAAAAATGATTTTGTGATAAATATTGTTATTATTTTATCACCCAGCCTTAGTCTTGCTGTTGGTAACTGGACAGTTTTGAGAAAAATGTTCTTGGATGGGACTGAGCCCAATGAGGACTTTTATTATTGTTTTGATTGAATTAAGGTTTTTATTCATGTTTTGTGCCAGGGTCCAATAATAATAGAGTTGGGTTTAGTGAAAAATCAACCAAATTTACATTATACTAGTATTTTTAATAAGTACGTTTTTAAACAATTCCCCTTCCTGTCAGACGGCGGGTGTTGGGCATGTCTGGAGGTATCGAGGAGCTGGGCAGCGTCAGATGGGAGCTGGCTCTGTGTCTTCTGGTCAGCTGGGTGTTGTGCTACTTCAGTATTTGGAAAGGCATCAGATCCTCTGGGAAGGTCAGTGGAAATATTTTGAGATATTTTAAAACCCTAAGAGTTATTCCAGATGATATTTAAAATGTCCGTCTGTGTTCAGGTTGCATACTTCACGGCTACGTTCCCATACTTGATGCTCTTTATACTGCTCATCAGAGGCCTCACTCTACCTGGAGCCTGGGATGGGATCTACTATTACCTGTATCCAGATGTGAAGAAGCTGGCTAACCTTGAGGTGACCACTTTGATATGATGCTAACTTTGGAACGACTTGGGTGTTACTAAAGAGGAACACAGCGTAAAATCTGCCTGATGATTGTGTCTCATAATTATCTCCTTTGTATTTGACCTGTTTTTTTTTATTGTGCTACAAGAATAAATCTGACTTGACTTAACTTAAAGAAATACCAGTAACATCATTAAAAATACAAACTTCAATCAGCAGTAGAGTTACAGACGTGTGTTTTTACAGGTGTGGCTCGAGGCAGGATCTCAAATATTCTTCTCCTACAGCCTGACGATAGGGACTCTCAATGTCCTGGGCAGCTACTGTAACTACAACAACAACTGTTACAAGTGAGTGTTAGACATCACATGATTATTTTTCTATCCTGTTTGTCTGAGCAACAACAATAAAAAATGGCCTCTTGTGTGCTGGACCTCTTTAGGGATTGTTTCTGGCTCTGTCTGCTGAACAGTGTGACCAGTTTTGTTGCTGGATTCGTCGTCTTCTCTGTTCTTGGATTCATGGCTCAAAAACATGGTGTCACCGTCGACAAAGTGGCCGAATCAGGTAACGCAAATGTCAAAACTGCCTCATTGGGTCTGACCTTTCAGTTTATTCCAAACCAAAGTGACTGGTTTGAAAGGAAGAAGAAAAAGAAGAGGAAGCAGCTGCAGTCTTCATCTGGTGCTGATGCTGGTGCCATTGATTTTCTGTGGCAACAAAATTAATTAATTAATTTTCAATATTTAAACAGAAAGGCTGCTGCTCCCTGTATCGACAACACAATGAAGCCCTTAGAAAAGTTCCCGTTTACCCAAACAGAAAGTATCGACTCTCTCATTTCCTCCTGGTCCACAGGTCCAGGTTTGGCCTTCATCGCTTACCCACAAGCAACAGCTATGATGCCTTTGCCACAGCTGTGGACCGTCTGCTTTTTCCTGATGCTCATCCTGTTGACTGTCGACACACATGTAAGATTGCTGCACCCCTCATGAGGTAGATGATGACACTTAAAAATCACCCACAGAAATCACAGCGTTAGCGCATTTCCCCCCCCCCTGCAGTTCGTGACGGTGGAGAGCGTCATCACCTCCGTGAGCGACTTGTTTCCGAAGCTGTTTCACGCTCGAGGGAGACACGAGGTCTTTGTCCTCGTCATCTGTTTGTCCTTCTTCCTCTTACATCTGACCTTCGTCACTGAGGTAAAGAAATATTGACATAAAAACAGGATTTAACTTTAAAACACATTGGTTATAAATGTTTCTCCAAAATGAAGTCTATTCAGTTGTCTTTGTTCTACAGGGAGGTATTTACGTATTCCAGCTGATCGATTATTACGGCTGCACCAGAGCCTGTCAGGACTTCATGGCTGTAGTTCAGTGCCTGGCGATGGCCTGGATTTTTGGTGAGTAAAAATCAATTATAAATTAACTTAATACAAATTTTACCTCCGACAAGGAAGTCGTGTTTTTACCCTTGTTTGTTTGTTTGTCAGAAGGATAATGCAAAAACTACCAGGAATGTTTTTATCAATTTTCTTTAACATTGTGATTTAAGGTGGGGTTTTTTTTTGTGTTTTTTTTTACATCTTTTTAGATTTCTGAGAGAATAATTCAAAGATCATGGTTTAAAAAAAAAATCTGTCATATTTAGGGGCGTGATATCGCTCAGTGTGTTCAATCTGATGCAGCTTGATGAGTTTAAGGGGACTGGTTGGGCCTTGGCAGAAGTCCTCTCTCTATTAAGTGCATTCTAGTTTACATTGAGTAAGTGAATGCAATGTTGTCCAGCAGGACCATAAAATATAAGGAAAATAGAGGAGGGCCTAGAATACTTCCTTGTGGTACTCCGTCATTCCTTCAGTAGTTTGAATATATCAAGGTTTTTCAGATGAATGTATAAAAGTTAAAAACTGAAGTTTTAAAGAAATAGAGGCTTGATTATAATATCTGAAGTTGCCAAAGGGAGCAAGTTGAACTGTTTTGTGGTCTTTTGCAGTTTGATTCAAATATTTTTTGCATGTGAAAATGATCTGAACTTCCATCAGGTGCTGACCGCTTCAACGACGCCATCAAGGACATGACGGGGCAGAGGCCGTTCATTTTCTTCAAACTGTGCTGGAAGTACCTGATTCCTCTGCTGTCAGCGGTGAGTCAGAAAGAAAGTCTGTCCTCGCTGGCTGCTGACGATTCCTTTTATTACTGATTCACGTCCCTGTTCTCCGCAGATTTCCTTCGTCCTGTACCTGGTCGATTACAAACACCTGAAGTTTAACGACAGCTACACTTACCCTGACTGGGCGTACACGCTGGGATGGGCCATGACTCTGTCGTCTGTTCTCATGGTGCCTCTGTGGGCAGCTGGACTGATGTGTGTCACACCTGGAAGCTTCACACAGGTGAGAACTCACCGGGGAGTTTTGGTTCATACGTCACAGGAGAAAAATAGACACCAGAGCCGAAAGAAAAAAAATCTAACCAAAGAGCTGAGAACCTGCACCAAACTCGTCTGTTTCTTTTTCCCAGCGTCTGTCGGTGCTCTGTCGTCCGGCCGGAGCTCCAACCTGCCAGACTGAAGATGGAAAACTGAGAGAGGAGGAAGTGACTGTTGAACTGAGGTCATCTGCTGTGACAGCTTAACAGCTGCATTGGAACAACTCAACACAGATAGAACATTTAAGATTTTAATGTTTTTTAATTTTTGTGTTTTTGTTGATAACATCTCAGACTGGTCATAAAAGGGATTTGAAGAAATGATCTTAAGCTGAGGACTGGATATGAGGAAGACATTTATTTAAATATGTCTGTTTCTCATAGAACCAATGAGCACCCAATGTATCGGGTTCGTCCCTGAGCCAGATCACTGTCTTCCACCAGGTTTCATGGAAATCTGTCCAGTAGTTTTTACATTATCCTGCTAACAAACAAACAAACACCGAACTAAACACTACAGCCTGCACGTCATTTGAAAATGAAATTTCTCTTTGAACACGTGTTTAGTTTCCATCAATATTTATTCACATTTTAAACTGATAATGGTAAAATTCAAAAACTTGAACTGGACACGACTACGTAACGTGTAACAGTTGAGAGTCAGCTAAGATCCCGACAGTCTGTGTTTGTTGTGTCTTTGTACAAAGGTTCTGACTCCGTCTTCTCTCATTTCTTTTGGAAAAATCCCATAATGGACGCTTGTTTAGATCCTTTATTTGCGTTCGCAGATATTTTCTTCTTCTTCTGGTCCTCTCTGTTACTCGCTGGGAGTTTTGCTGGGATGGGATTCCTCGCAGCTTGTTTGGTGGCCTTAAAGTCGTCTTCTGACTCAGAGTACGACTCACTCTCGTAGCCTTTCTCTGTCACTGTGGAAGAAATAAAATTAAAAAACTGATTTATTAAACAAGACAAAATTAACCAAAGTGATAAACCTTCAATAAAAGTGCTTGAAGTTAAATTATGTCATTTGTTGTAACATTTTTTTAATTATTTTTTTTTATATTGGACTAAACTAAAAAGGTGTTTGCTGTAGTCTGTTAAATCCTACTCACACACGTAAACATAACGTACCTTTAAATAAAACTAAATACAACAGGTGTAAAGTAAAGATGTGGAAATTACAATAGAATGGTTATTTGTGGGACAATGAAGGTATTCTGATTCTGATTCATACTTATATTTTTACTTTTATTATAATTTTACTACAATTAATGAACTATTTTGTTCATAAAGTAATTATCTATTTCCTTCATATATTTTATGTGAAGAATCTATAGCAGTAATCTGAAAACTAATTTGATGTTCTGTGAGTTTTATGAACCAAATGATAAATGAAAATATATTTTAAAAAACATTTTTCAACACATTTAATCCAGTCAGAAGACGTTGACTTAGGAAGTTTATAAGTAAGTAATAACTAATAGTCATAAACCTAATTTCACTGTGACTCTCTAGATAACTAAGAATATACAGTATCTTAAACACATGAAGGGATTAGGAAAGGAAACACTCATCGTACCAATGCATCCTTCATCGTCTACAAAGGTTTTAGATTTCAGGACTCGTCTCCTCTTCCTTATTTTCATTCCAGGGAGACTCGGCTTTAGAATAAACATGAAAACATCCACATTAATCATCCAGAGTTAAGTACAGAGAGAAAAGACTATTAGAGGAAAACGTGGACTTGATAAATGATTTTAAAAACTTACACGTGAATGTGAGACACACTCGACCTCCTGTTTAGGACTAGGCGACCGTTCTTTTGTTTCCATCGGCTGTGGAGAATCTGGAATGACTGGACACGAGAACGAAAGGTTAGTTTTCTGAAATTAAACTTGAAAAGATTTTTTTATTTTATTCATAAGTCTCCCTTTTTCAAGATCTTGAATATTCTGAATTTACAATATGAATTAACTAAACTATATCTTCCCGAACTGTCACTGATGATGACATTATAGAAATAAAGTCAAACACAAATGTTTACTTCTTCATTCCAATTAGTTTTTTAATTCCAGAATTACATTTTGGAGTTGAATTGTTCAATGATGTTTTTTAAAAATAAAAAAATGACTGAACAGAAATAAGTATGAGGTCAAAGCTCACCATCTTCATCGCTGCTGTCGGGTTCAGGTTTTTTAATCCTTCGCCTCTTTTTCTTCTCCATTTTTTCCTCCTCGCTGTCAGAATCCTCAATTCGCTTGGTTTTGCTGAAGATAAATAAAAAGCCAGTTTTTTTTTTTTGACCATGAAGAATCAAGTTTCTCATTGTTTCAACAAACATTAAACACTTTTTTATGATACCTTGACATTTCTGCATGAAAGAAGTCTATTAGTGTTTCTAACTTGTTTTAGTCTGATTACATGGAACAATATTGTTAGAGTTTGATTATTTTTAATAAATATTTCTACAGATCTACCTCATGAAAATAAAAACGAGCACAAACCTCCTGGAGTCTTTCTTCGTGTCTTTCTTCGCGTCTTTCTTTGAGTCTTTTGGCGGCGACTGTGCAGCAACCTGTTTTTCCTCAGGATGGGAACTCTGATGTCGCTGCTCGGCTTCGCAGGTCGACTGAGCCGCTTCTTCCTCCTTCACAGCTTTGTCTGGTTTCTCTGTAGAAAACAGACATCGAATGAAGTCCTGTGACACACAGAGAACTGAAAACAGCAGCGGGTATAACTTCAGACCTATGGTGGAAGATGTTGGAAGCAGAAATCAAACAGTATAAAGGCAGCGAACTTAATAAATGCAACAGAATCTATGTTTAATACAAATAAAGTCAAAGAAATGTGGAGTAAAAAAGCACTGAGAACATTTCTGAATATTACTCACTTGCTGTCTGATTCCCGAAGAAGTTTGTCATTGGATTTGCTTTGGCGGCTGGTTTGCTTTTAGGGGCGACAACCTAAAATTTAAAACACAATTATAAACCTTGATTAGTATCCTTCTTCTCCTTTGGTTGTTTCTTTTTTCGAGAACTGTATTTACACCGAAGGACTCAAAGCCATACCGCAGGAGCATCTTCTATCTGTTCCGACTTAACCTCTTTGTCCTGGTTCTTGGGAGTGGTTTTATTTGCAAACATTCCCATGATGCCCTTTGGCGGTTTGGTGGAGGGTTTTGAAGCCAGACTAGCCTCTCCGTTCAGGCCAGGTTTTTTCGCCACAGGCTCTGGTGTGGGAGCCCGCTGTATTTCTCTGCTCTCCAGAGAAGACGTGGGCCCTGCACTGCTGCAGTGGATCGCACTGTATCTGCAAACCAACAGAAAATAAAGACTCAGCTACATATTTGTAAACACACAACTTGTCACTTCACAGTTTTGGAAGAATCATAAAACTAATGTCCAGACTGTCCCTGCCTTTGTAAAGTATCCTGGTTAATTCAAGAAACAATATGATGAACGTACTTGCTGCAGTTGCTGAAATTGTCCTTCACAGCATCATAGTCCACACTGTAGAGGGGGCCGCTGTCTTTCAGTAGAGCTTTCTGGACACTGTAGACATGGACACTGACGATCAGGCTCATCTTGGCTTTAGTGTCTGTAACAAAACAACAACAACAGAGGTTAGACACTTTTAAAACCCTGAATAATCGCCATGGAAACAGATATCCTGACTCATGCTATCATGGTCTAAGTACACAAGAGAGCAGAGTTAAATCACGGTTACTCAGAAAAATATTATCACTCTACTTTTGCTGCATCAGAACTAAAAGCAGAAAAGTAACGATACTGCAGGAAACAATCTCCACACACCTTCCAGTTTGTCCTCTCTGACAACCGACACCTTGTGGCTCTGAAAAACAGACACAGCATCAATAAAAAATAAAAAAACTCAATCAATACAGAGGTTTGGTATTTTCGTATAAAGATGAAAACAATGTGACTCACTGTTTGGCCGTTGTCCACGAACTTCCCCGACACAAGATATGTGGCATGAAGCTGAGCTGAACTCTCCTTCCTCTTGTGATCCAGGTAGTGGAAGAGCATTCTGAAGAAAAGACTCAGGTTTTTATCATTTTATTACTCTACAATATTTCTAATGACTTTAGGTGACATTACACTGAATTCCTCAATACTTTAAAATTTGAGCTGCGCTGATTTATCCATTAAGATAATTACAGTGGAGAGAGACAGGAAATATCAGTGCATATTTATCTGTATAATAAAATACTCTTTACCAAGCGTTACTGAATCCTTGTGTTCTTAGTGTTGCTGATATTACACAGGAAGGTTGGCAGGTTATTTCTATTAGGAATTTAAATATATACATATATCATTCATAGTACCAGTATAAGATGAAGAAGGGAAACTGAGTCAGTTACAGTTTTTCAGAATAAATGCACAACACAAACAAAAAAGTGGAGTTTAAAAAATCTGTCTTATTCATCGTATTTAATTTTATAATTAAAATCCTTCAGAGGAAACTCACTGTTTTGCTGTGTTGACATGGACTCCAAGTGTTAGACTGAGCCATTTATAGGTCACCTGGTAAACACAGAGCCCAGTCTGTTAACCACATTATTAGGGACACCAGGAGAAAACACGATGAGGTGAAGTTAACTTTAGTTTGGATGTTTGACAGCGCAGTTTTCTCCCGGTTAAACAGGAATCATGTGACCCGGGAATCGAACCTGAAACAAACCTCTTCATGGTGAATGATTTCACACGAGTGGTCAAACACTGTTCGACTTTCATTTACCACAATAACCTTTTCTGTGCAGTTTGTCCTGAACCCACCGAGCTGACGTGTTTGTGTCCATCACATCACATTGAATGCGTCAGAAACATTTCAACATTTAACTATAGTCCGATCATCGTTCGTTAAATTCATAATAAACACAATACAAACAACAGTTAGCAGCTAACGACAGTAACAGAGTACAACAGCTATAACTCAGATTTTATACAAATTAAGAACTAACATCCAGATGATTGTTAAGCCGAATTATTTAAAACACACATACAAACGGTATAAAGTTTGCTTTTTAATCGTAGTCATACATTCATCGGCCTAAAAAGACAAGCAAACGTTAAACAGGGAGTTTTGGGAACGCACATCAACAGCTCCCCGCAGGGAGGTGGACATTAGCTCACGTTAGCTCCGGAACAGCAGCGTCAGCACGAGAGAAGAAGAATTCACTTACGATCTTATCGTGGTCGTTGACATATTCGTCGATATTATCTAAATAAAGTTCGTCCATCTTCGAAACGTGAACGTGACAGTGTCTCTGCACAGGCTCCTCTGCGCGGGAACTTTATTTACTTCCTGTTAAATGTCACATGACTCTTCCTCTTTCCGGTGAGGAAACCCACGCCCTCTACAGGTCAACACAGGGAACAGCATTTTTTATTTTTTTTTAAACAACTGGTGACACTCAT